TTGACTATCTTCCAATATTCCTTTGGTGAATAAATCTGATCGTTTCTCAGTTTAGACGAGATATTGGTTCTATGTTTCTTAAGTTGTGTGTTCAGAAACTTTTTATACTCGTATGAATGGAATTTATAATAAAAACCTGTCAAAGGTGATTTATATATGTTTTTTTTTCTTTCCCTAGTCTAGTATTTTCTATATGTCTTGCATTTACTGTTAAACCAAGGTTTGTTTTTCTTTGGAATAGGTGTAGCCTGATTATAACCTACATGCTGTTGTTTAACCCCAAACGCCTCACGAGCCGCAGTGCAAAGCACCTGCATGACCTCATTAGCTATGGAGTTGACTTCTTCAACCAGGTCACCATGACCCTGTAAAACCAAATCAACCTTAATCGACAGTTTATCAAAAGTTTCTAAGTCGATGGAAGAAAGAATATCTTAAAATTAATCAGGAATGAAACACTTACTATATATATTGTTTTTACATGTGTATCATAATTGTTGTTAACATTAATAAATTTATCATTAGATTCAAGAGTAATATTTTCTTTTAGTGAAAACATAAGTGGGGAGTGAACATCAGAGTAAAGGGGTGAGAAATCAACAATATCAAATGAGTTAAATAAAGATATAGCCTTGGATGAAGCAACAACATTATCTTTGACACTTTTGTCTTTACATGTAGCCTTGCCTATACCCTCATCACAACCAATACGCCTATTACATATAAATAAATCCATTTCAATGTAAAACTCTAGTAGTTTCTTGCCATGCTTGTAGCTCTTTGACGTGGTAAATGTAAGCCATCTAAAACAAGTTCTGGGTCTTAATCTACGTTTTCATCAAGGCATGTTTCTTTTGATAGGAATTCATCAATATTATGGTTCTCTAATGCGTCTGACGTTTTGGCGTTAAAGTCTCCCAGAAGTATTAAATATTCTGAATACGTGAAAGCATCTAGTATAGACTTTTCTATATTATCAAACATATTATCATGTAAAAATCTTGAGCCTTCAGGTGGTATATAAGTGACGCCTACAACAAGATCCTGTTCTACACTAAATAACTCTTTGGACATTTGGAACCAAAGAACGTCATCAACTTCGAGATCTAGTAATGATATATATAAAGTATACACATCACGTACTGCTAAGGTTAGTCCACCTGAGCGTTGCCACGTACAGCTTCTGTGTTTACAATAAACCTCGTAACCATCAATCTTAATGCCGTCTAAACTATCTGCTTTGGTCTCTTGAAAACATAATATGTCCCTATTGGAAATCAAGCCTAAACATTTGGGGTAGTCTAGTCGCTTTCTCAAGCCTTTCTTAGGTGCATTCAAATGCTGGAAATCACAATGTCTGTGTATAGTTTTATCATAATTATTTGTTACAGTTTCACTTTCATTTGATATATTTTGTTCACTGTAACTTGTGCTACAGACGCTAATATTGTTTGTAGGTTCTGGTTGATGGCATGCATCCGCTAGGGCTCTGCGTCGAGATGTCTCTTGCCCACTCACGTGTCCCTAGCGTTGCTGTGATTGATGAGCGAGAGTGCTCTTCGGTAGTTGAGGCGCACGATAGGGGGTTGGGACAGGCGGCGTTTGAAGTTGATTGGTTATGTACAACTTATCCACGACAATAGAAGCGCGTTTACCTTCGTTTCGTGCAGGTCGATATAACGGCATCAACACTTCATATCTGTAATCAGACTTCTCAGGCGGAAATTGTTCAACTACTCTGTAAGGTTTTCCCTTAAGCTCTCTGGCTGACCGTTTAACAGCATCACGTTCTTTTGTAACTATATATTTAGCAATGATGGATCGACGCCTCACTGAGTCGTTGGGATGTCGTGGCGTACGTCGTTGTCCGATTTGATGCACCCGTTTGAATTGTAGATTTTCTGAATCCAATTACAGCTCTTGCTCAATGAAGTCCCTGAGTACTTGTTCGGTATCCCCAATTTCGCTGACGCTGTTAGTTGCAAGAGCTGACGTTGTTTCGAGGATGTTTGTGAAGATGAGGTTGTCGCGCATGGAACGACATCTCCGCTCAACCAAGGATTCTCTCAAGCTAACATTTTCAGCTTTGAGCTCATCAATTGTTTGAAGTTTCTCTTTCACTGATCTTACGTCACGCTCAGTTTTGGAGAAACGTACAGACCAATCTTCCATAGATTTATTTACAAAAGTAGCACTCTCTTCTAGGGCACTTACCTTTGGTCGTAGCTCACCTAGGTCTATCACTTTCAACTCAAGGCCAGACACGCTTGTTTTAATGTTATGAATCTCAGTTTCCATTACATCAAGTTTTTGTAGTTTATTTTCTATGCTGGTAAGCTTATCAAGGATGTCAAGACTTCTGTCAGGAGTGTTAACAAATGGTTCATTAGGTATATATGGGAGACCCACCTGTTGATACCCACCGCCCACCGGCGTGGGGAACACAAGTTGCTGGGGCTGAAATGGCGTGCCTTGTGTTGATTGCTGGCTCATCGGAGTTGATGCTACTTGTTACTGTGACTGATGAGTTGAGTTGCCGTAGGGACCGGCAACTATATCCAGAGCTTCACGTAACATTGCTCTGGCGTGCGATGTGTTCGTCTGTGGGGTCGCCATTTTTGTTGATGTGGAAGGTATAGATTCGCGAAAATCCGACAAACACTCTTGTAAATTTTTCTTTTATTGTTCTTCTTCTTAGTTACTGTTTTGTTCATATCATACTCACTCCAGCAAGCATCAGCGTTAGGCTCAGTATCCTTGGAGGCAAAAATCCAGGTAAAATTGATGAAGATCGGGAGAGACTCGTAAGTGCGTGTACTCGCCTCGTGTGGCCTTCGCCTTCTTCCTATACTGATATTGAAACCGACAACATGGGTCTTCAATACATGACGATGACACACTCTGAGGCTACAAAAAATCATCCAGCGGGGGTTCATTATAAGGGGCAGGGTGAACCTCGTATCTTCGCGAGCGGTTCGTCTTCGTGTACAAGTCGAAATTTAATCCACAAACTCATGCATTTTTTTCAGCAAGCTCGGAAAACTGTAACTGATTCTGACACCACGTGGTACACTCTCAAACCGTTAGGCCACAACTCTCTTTCGTCAATGATGAAAAAGATTGTCAGTAAATAGCGGCTTGAGTGAGATTTTCGCAAATCACCGTGTACGTGCCACAACGGCAACTCTTTTGTCACATGGTGGTGTAGAATTATCCCTTAAAAACTCATTATGTTTTGCGCTGCAAACATAAGGATAGTGTGTTAAACGTGTGAATACAGTTTGAAGTACTGAGACTGTTGTTTGTTATCCCCCGCAACGCGTTTTGCGGGCGGTATTAAAATGGACTCCGTCCGTGCGTGCGTGCGTGCGTCCGTCCGTCCGTCCGTGCACATTTGTCTTTTCCGGAGCAGAACTCTAAAACCGTTCACTTTTTCTTCACCAAACTTGGCACATAGATAGATCTGGTGGTGTACTGGTGCCTTTTGGTAGTTTTGGAATTCTGAATAAAATATTTTTGGCGTTTCCGTGGCAACAAGTTCGACTTAGCCTGAAATTAGTGGTAGTGCTCTTTTCCGGAGCAGAACTCTTAAACCGTTCACTATTTCTTCACCAAACTTGGCACATAGATAGATCTGGTGGTGTACTGGTGCCTTTTGGTAGTTTTGGAATTCTGAATAAAATATTTTTGGCGTTTCCATGGCAACAAGTTTGACTAAAACAGAAATTAGTGGTAGTGCACTTTTCCGGAGCAGAACTCTAAAACCGTTCAATGTTTCTTCACCAAACTTGGCACATACAGAGATCTGGTGCTGAACTGGTGCCTGCTGGTAGTTTTGGATTTCTGAATAACATATATTTAGCATTTCCATGGCAACAAGTTTGACATAGACTGAAATTGGTGATAGTGCTCCTTTCTGGAGCAGAACATTCAAAACCTTTCAATACTCTCCTTCCACTTTTCTATATACACACCTAAATATTTGACATAATCATAACTCGTAGACATAATCATGAAGAGTATTTTGCCATTGCGGGGGATATTGATGACTTTGTCTTCTTTTTTAAATTTATTTTGGCAAAGTTGTGACTGCTCAGAATGTTGGAAGAGGCCGTCACCCCTTCTGTAGGGCTGTACCAAAGAATGTCTGCACCTCTTTCAGGTGTTCCCAGCGCGAACTGGTTGAATCGATTAACGTTGCGACGGTAAATAGTTCGTTTTAAAATTGCAATCAAATTTGGAGCTATTATAATTTCGTTACATACCTCTGATTTACCAACACAGTATGTTTATCTCACAATTAAAGTTTCCGATGATGCGTTTTTGCGCTGTGCATTCGTTCCATGTACAGAAACCAACATTATAATTGCGAACTTATAACAATCAAACACTATTCTGAAAAATAATTGAAATTTCATTCATCAATATCACCTATGCGCGTCTATTGTGGGAGAATATACATTAAATGACAGGCAAACAAGCTTTGAATATTTTAATGATCTTGTGCAAACTTAATTACAAATGCTTGACCAAATTTAAATTTGACAAGGTAAAAAACGAAATGCGAAATCGAACCCTCAAACGACAAATATCCTAGATTATCCTTATATTAAATTGGGTTTTCGGTTTCGCAATTTCAGCGATGCGACAGGCTCCGTTTCTGCCTCCTTCCAAATTACAGGACTTTTCGGTCTGCTCAACCATTGGATTATTGGGTGTTATATTTGCGGTCTTGTCATCTATTGTTACAGCTGCAAATTCACCTGAGCGTAGTGATTAATATGCACTGGGATAAACTAATAGGTGAATATCTTACAACATACCACAAAACACTATACTGCGTGACAACATTAAACATGTATGTCACTGAGCGACTGGACATATTAACCCTTCAGAATGATTTTGCGGCAAAAGGAATTACAGACAAGAAACCTTTTAAACCTTTTCATCAATGTTAATTCAAGATAACACATGTACACGCTCACTCACTTTCCTTTCAGTGTAAATGTACTGACGATTACAACTTATTGGCAACAGAAGTACACAACGGAGTGTGGTTGGTGGGGCAGTCGATGCGGGAGATCCAGGTAAAATCGCCATTTCTTAAAACGAATGGTTATGATTCATAATATCTCTCCTGGATAGATAAATGACGGTATCTTTCTGATCTGACAAGTTCTCTATGTTAATGGCTTTTGAACCAATATCACGTATGGAACATTGGGACATTGTAGCCATGTTGCATTGTCGCGTTGTCGCCCTTATAAAAATAAGACAATAAAAAAATGTCACCTTCAAAACCCCATATTTATTCTGGTCATTCTCAGCCTTCAGGAGAGTAAACTGCTGCTTGATATCGGAAGAATGCCTTCAACAATTGATTCGAACCAATGATTATAGATTTCTCTGCACAGCGAATTGCCCCGCGAAAATATGACAGGGCCTCTATGCTCCGTCATAGATTTGAGAAGTTATCGGAAACCGGAATGAAAACCGGAAAAAAATGCAAAAAAATCACGTTTGATTGGCTACATTAAACACAGACATTAACAACATATGAAATATTTTCCAAGGCAAAGATGAAAGATTTGTATTAAGTTCCAGAAAAGCAGCCATATTGACAATTACTATTTCGGTTTTGAAACCATTGGAAACCAAAAGACCATTGGCGTTTGTAAAAGAGCATAACTATTTCTGCGCATACGTATACTAATTACCTTGCTACACATGCACACCGCTAATCGAAAACAACGCGACAATGCCACATATTCCTTATGGCGCCTTGTCGCGCATTTCATACTATTTTACACATCTCAGATGGGGCGGCAATGTGTCATATTTTGACCTTGAAAACTGTAGAGCATGTGTCGCTTTGTCGCCCTTTGGTTGAATACAAAAATATAATTCAAATCACTACAATGCAGCATAGCGACAATGCGACACATTGCCAAAATGTCGTATTGTCGCACTTTGGTCAATTTTGACACTTTTTGCATGTTTTTGTAAGAGCGACAACACGACAACGTCCCTTCTAGGACTCCATATTCTGTTATATTCTGACCACATTTTCTGGTGGTCAGTGCATCCCAGCTGACATCTATGACAAACTGAAATTCTCTGACAGATTTGAAATGACCAGATCATAGTTGAGGCAGGTACAACGTCAGAATATTAAAAGAAATGATATTACCACTGTTACGAAGTTGTACATTCATATGTCGACAATACCATACATGTAGGTAAAGAGAACACGTTTTTGTTCCACCAGGCAGAAGTCACACACTACTTACAGATGCGAATCAGGGTACAGATCAACAGATAACATAGGCTGTCCACATCGTAAGTGAATTGCGCTACTTGGATAGACGAGCGTCTGGCCTTTCTACAATTGTTATCATCATGATCTGATGATCTGTATACCTTGGTAAGATAAGGCCATGCGACGTATTTTGAATAAATTTACAGGATGTCGACTGTCTCTCACAGACATTTGTGCTGAGACTTAGTAATGGTATACGCGCGAGTAGCCTGCTTTCGTTCTGTTTCTTGCGACCCCAGCTAAACACATATTACCACACAAGATACTTCAGGATTCTTATGATTTTACATAAAATATGTTCAACCACATATACCGTAACGAGGAAAATGATTACATATTACAGCTGTATGTGACAATGAGATCAACCCCGCTGCTTGCAACATGAACTACCCGACATCTCACATCGTCTACAGTAACGGCAGGACACAGTACAAGAGTGGGGGCAGCTGTACTGCCCCCGGGATCTGTGCCAACTGTAATGAAGGCTTTTACCCCAGCAGAGAACGATGCAGAAGTAAGTGTACATTGGTTAAGTCGGTTCATTCATATTGGGGACGCGGATGGTCAAGTCGACTCATGCGCAGCGCACGCACACTGAACATTATCCTGTCAGCACCATACTCATGATAAAGGCTATTGTGACCACAAAGGTTTCTGGCATATATTTGCTACAAGCTCAAATTTCTTGATAAGGTCCTGTGTTCCCTTTCACAGTGTGCAGTGCCATCAGTAACTGTGACCTGGAGACATGCACCAGCAGCAGCAACGAGGTGTGTAGTCGCTGTGAGGGGGTCGTGCATGACCAGGCAGGAAGCAGGGCATATGTGGCGTCTTCGAGTCGGATATCATGCATACGTGAGTTGCCATCGATGAATAACGACTCAACATTATGTCCACCAGTTACAAATATACCTGTTGGTAGGTTCCTACTACTATTTTGTTCGCCTTTATCGAGCTTTGAATAAAAACACGCGCAAACTACAAGAATCCAGACTCTGAAAATGTTACATAATAATTTATGATCATAAATGTTACGAATCCTACAATAACCTTAGTTTTTCTATTCATTCATTCTATTCAGTCTTTAACTACTAAAATTGGTTTTATTGTTGCATCTATCAGTATCGTACCCTTTGATTCTATCTTTGGATCTGTCAAATATTACAAAATCATTTCCAATCAACTTTAGTCAGGAAGTGGACATTGGTCTTGCGTATATTGTTTCTTCTTACAACAGATCATGCAGAAGTTAGAATATGCCTTGCCGTCGCCCCACCGCACACAACAGATTTAGATACTTAACCGGTCATGTTGTAAACTTTAGATCCCCCATTTGTGTCAACAGAGGCGTGATCGTGGCGGAGTGACAGCACCCGGTGTTATCCCGGGACCTGCAGGAACGAGTACGCCAGTAACTGTGCCTGCTCCAGCGGCTTCACAGGGAAACATTGTCAGACAAGTAAGTTGACGCTTCCTGGGATTACAAACAACACGCAGATAGCAAACAACAAACACTTCCTTTTCGTTTGCAAAGTGTGAATATCAGTTGCTGCCAGAGGCGCAAAACATGTTTACCCTTTTTCCCGAAGACCTTGTTAATTTTCGGTGATTCATTCATTATATACTTTTCAGCGCTATTTTGCTTCTGGAGTCTTTGAATCTGTTTCCATGGATGAGCGACACTGTTCTTTTACTGGCATTGATTTTTCATAAGTAGTTCATATGACTGCACATCTACCCTTAGCGAAAGGACGCCGTATGAGTATAAACTTAAGTCCTGGATATATCAACGAAATTGTAAATCTTTTGCACTGTCGCTTATCGTATTTGTTCGCATATTTGTACATTACAAGTATGTCACAGTAACAACGAAGCCCACAATAAACTTCAACCTCCTGAGACTGACCGCCAGCAACGGCGACACGACAGAGGCACCTCCCAACATCAACAGTGGTCCATCTCAGTCTACCAGCTGGTCAAACATCAACTCTCCATCCAGACTGTACTACAGGTTTACGGCAGAATACAAAATGGTACCTCCATCCAGACATGCCTTCATTGAAGACTTCGGTGTTGGAATTGTCAGTGGTTCTGCTACATTCAAACTAAAGAGAGGTATGTGAAGTATCAGAATGCAGACTATTACATTTTGCTGCATACATCAAAAGGTGAAACTGATTTTCTAACGAGTTGGGTATAATACTGTTAACTGCATCTAGTTTTACAACGGTATATACTATCCGCTGGTAAAATGTGTATACGGTATGTAAATAAAAGTGACAACACACACCAATAAGAAATCTCCGTTGACAGTTTCGACAATATCATGAGGAGGTGTACTTTCAAACAGTGATAATACCAGGTGGTGGAGAGAAGGTTAGCATGTCCCGAATCACCTAACTGATGAACTCGTGCTTCTTGTTTTATCCTCCCTCTGAAAACGATTATTATTCACCTGACTGTGTTGTTGTACCAAGGTGCAGGTGTTGTCTCCACTAAGGTCTATAAATGTGGAGGAGCCAGCCGAAGCAGCCCGAACACAGACCTGTACACCTGTGAAGGAAACCCATCAGCGGCGTCTGTACTACCTCTACCCTTCCAACATAGAGATGTGTGAGTTCTGGGCAGATGTGTTTTGTAAATGACGATGTACAGCTTGGACTGTGTCTGACACGATGGACGTTTCGATAGTGTTGCGTTTCACTCTGACATTTGACTACACCTAGCTTTTTCATCACAATGTACTTTTGGTTTTCATAATAATCATAACGTATTGTGTGTGTGTGTAAATATTGCTACTAAACTACATTCTGACCAGGGACAACCACAGGTTATCTACAATACAGATACCGTTGTATATTTTGAATAGGTACTTTCATCTTTAAGCTTGGAATCTGAATGTCATAATATAAAAGAAATAAAACAAGAAATGTGAATTAAGACGATACCATCGATACGGTACTGAAGTGGCTACTTTTGTGTACATTTCAAGTTCGTTAATAGAACGTTGGTGAACAACACTGCAACTGTTTCACAATTGATATAATTTTCAATCACAAAGATCCTATAAATATTTTGACATTATTATTTTCAGTATCGAATTCACTTATTCAACAAGTAATGGAGGGTATGTGAAGGTTCGGAACAAGGAGAGTAACACACTAGCGACCTTCTACTACAACAGTGCCACACAGACCCACGTCTATACTGTGGCCATAGACCTGGTGGATCCCTATCACTGTACTGGTACTACTGCCTGTGTTGGCAGCATGCTGACTGTTCCCGATGTTATAAAGACTGTAAGTATATGACCACAGTTATATTTTACACCTGATGGTAATGGTTTACAGGGAGAATGATTCCATTACTTGTTTTACAGGAGAATCCACTTGTTTCAGTCCAAAGTGAACCTCCGCTGGAGTGGCTGGTCAGATGCTGATGCAGGAGTCGACCACTTTGTGAGGGACGTGTATGAACTCCACGCTGTTGGGGATGTACTCAGAGATAAACGTCGTGTTGTCACTACAACGTTGACAAGCTCAACGGTGAGGAATTGTAGTTCCAATATTTAAATCAATTCAAATCATGGGTGATCATTTGCAGTCTCGTGAATATAGTAAGCGCCATGTGAATGCATGCTTCTGGCCGTGTGCGTGTGTGTGTGCGTGTGCGTGTGCATGTGCTCGTGCGTGTGGGTATGTTACCTTCACAAATAATAAGTATTAAAAATAAGTACAACTACTTGACCCAGCTACAAAACACTTGAACTAACACGAACATCGTTCCAAAGACATTAATTTCCTTGAAAGGTGAACTGTGGCGGTGTGCGGTTACTTGTTCAGTTTACACATGTAAAGTATTGTTTACACATGTACATGTTTCAGACGTCCAACAGCTACACACTGGCTACGACGGGCGTGTACTCGGTTGTACTGTCTGCCTATGACAAGGGAGGCAATCACAGAAGTACAAGAAGAATCCTGGTATATGATGGTACTTCAAATGTAACAACACAAGCAAACACATCTCTCCGTGTCACAACAGCAGCATCAGCAACATCAGAGTGGCAAACTACGTCATCATCAGTGACAGTAGACTGGACCAACAGATACATCAACACAGTCCACCGAAACAACAAGTGGCTCCTGGGCGTGGCTTCTCTTGGTAACATCAGTTTGGACTATGATGACAACGAGGGTGACAGAAGTGTGTCTGCCATCAACAATGTTCAAGGTTGGCACAATTTGCAAGCTGGTTTATATAGAACAGACATATGATCTGGAATCTAACGACATAGGCTTCATTTATCACGCGATATTACAACAATTCATCATTGGTGTATACACGCTCATTCAACGAAGCAACTAATAATGGCCATATAGAAGCATTCAATATCGTTTTGTTTCTTAACCTTTCACACTGAAATCCTAAGCATTTCCCCTCTTCTGATAAATGAGTATGGTCATGTATATTCAACAGGTTTAACACGATTCTTGACGTCATACAAATTCGACCACCAAGGAGGATCGTCCATCGCCAGTCCACCAGCTGATAACCTGTTCACCAGTCAAGGTCTGAATCAGTCACAGACCATAACACCCTCACTAGTGGACGGGGACACTGTACGCTTCTGGGTTCGAGCCTATGACATCAAACGCGAATTCCTTGAAGAACGTGTGACAGTCCACATCGACACATCACCCCCCGTCCTAGAGAACCTGTGGCTCACCAGGGGAGACCGACTCAACATCAGTGTTCATAGTGCAGAGGAATTTTCCGAAATGACGCAAGTCTTTTGTTTTCTTATGGTGTTCATTGATAAATAATTATACATGAATATTATTATTGTTAGTTCATTTTTAGATTCCCTTTAACAAACATTTGGAGAATATATCGGGGACATGACCTGTATTTTGCCCTTCGTCCAACTTTACCTAAGTACTACTCAAAACAGTGGACTACCTTGACCACGGTAAAATGTGTGACACAACGGTCTGATGAATGTCTGAGACACTGATGTGATGAATTGTCAAACCGTGTAATACAATTTCAGAATGGAGTGGATTGCATACGATGAGCACAGTGGCTTGGAGACGGTGTCATGGCGTATTGTAGATAAATACAAGGATTTAGATATCGTGCATGGAGTTCAGCACATCACGGCTCAAGGGGAAACAAGTGTAAGTAGTTTTGAGAACACACCTGTGTATGCCATAGTTGTACTTCTTGCGGTAATGGAACATGCGCTTTACTCCATTACTTCTGTTGTTAAGCACACTTTATCACATATTTGACAATGGAGGTTGGTCAGACATCATCAATACGATTAATGACAATTTGTTTCAAAAGCTAAATTGTATTGTTAAAATATCTGGTATGTAAATAACACAGAGTATTGCTGACTGCAAGAACGCCAACACTGATGCCACAAGGGGAGTTAACTGTTACTGCACGCCAGCCAAAGGTTGCTACCATCGTCACTTCCAAGTAAAGCCCATCGTAGTAGACAGTAGTCTCCCACATGGAGGAATATTCAGCAACAAAAGCAGGGGATCACACGACTCTGACTACTATGTAGAGGTCAATGTGACAAACCACGCCAACCTTAAAACAAAGATGGAGTTTAAAGTAAGTGAAACTTTCGCATGATTGATGAAAATCTCTTCTATGCGTTGAATACAAGTATATACGATTTCCTTTTGATCAATATACACATGATCTGTTTCCTAACATGCTGTTCCATGATCTTGTCCAGGTGACAATTGATACAAGCCCCCCTCATCCTGGCGTTGTTCAAGATTGTCAATTGGGGAACCCGGAAGTGGACTACCAGCAGCATCTCCAACTCTGCGGCCACTGGGACGGATTCTTTGACAAAGAGAGCGGAGTCAAATTTTACCAATATAAATTTGGTCCTCACTGTCTCTCAGCAAATGAATTTGGAGTTAATAAATCTTTATTTGAGGTAAATATAGAACGTCAGCGTTAAAGAATACACAGTTTTGACTATCCTTGAAACCAATTCTGTTTCCTGTAAAGGGGAAACTGGCTGTGTGAGTCACATGAATGGATCACTGAAAATCAGTGATGACACCGTGTTCACGGCTAAGCATCTCCTGCCCTACAAGTATCATACTCCATTCACAACATTTGCCTAAAACTGGAAGTATTTTCGCAGTACCCCTGCCATGCAACGACTACCTGAAAACAAACCAGACAATCATGTGATCGATGAATTGGAAAATTTGGTGAATGTAGATAATATGGAAGTACCATGTGTGCGTGCATGGGTGGGGCGTGCATGCGTGCGTGTGTTTCTGTACTGGAGATATGATGAAATGATGTTGTTGTTTTTCTCTTGTGAAAATCACACATATCTGTCTGAATATTTCGGATCATTCACTCATGACATACAGGTCACGGAAACCTATTCCACATCCGCCTCCTGGACAGCGCCCTCTGTCGGCAAGTATCACGTGACAGTGGTGGCCTTCAACCGAGCACTGGAAGCATCTGACCCAGTGTGTTCTGACGGAGTGACTGTAGACACAACACCACCCAGTGTCAGTGAGGTGGCAGTGAGAGACTCCAGGGTGATGGAGGGGCTGGTCAAGTCATCAGATAAAGTTGTGTGGTTCATCGACGCCCACAGGAGACGTACCCTGGTGGTCAATCCAGATGGCAGTTGCAGGTACAACAGTTTAGTGAAAAGTGTATGCGTTTTTTTTTTTGTATTTTGTTTCTTATTCTGTGATACGGGACTGTCCTGTGTGATGGTCGTACTTCCAGTATCATTGAAAGTACTTAATTATGGTCCTCATTTTCACATGATACCACGAACGATGAAATCCGGTTGGATGTTTAGAAGCTTAATTGTAATTTTGCCTGAAGAATTACCAGGAAACATCGTGCTGATACCATTAGGATAACAACTGGATATGTAACAGGTGACTGTTGAACCATATTAAAAAATAGCATTGTGTCTGAATGAATATTTTCTGACATTATTCTGGATTTATGTTCGGGGCTGATGTCATCGGCAATTTACATTGTCTTATTTGGAGGAAGGAACATTGTCGTCTTTCTAATTCTTGAAACGACAATTTATCCTGAATGATTTGCGTTTTGATTTTACATCTGAACTCAAGGCTACGCACATGTTCTTATCAGAGAATCCTACTTTCCCCCGATATGAACGCAATTTATGTTTTATTCACGATGTGAACGTCGACGTCATGATTAGCCGACTTTGGTCTCATGCCCACAACCAGTTCAAGTTTGTCCCATCAAATTCAACATCAAATTCGATGCCACCTATCTGTAATTAAATAGTCATTTGGTAACGATGAGTGAGTGAGTGAATGAAAATTTACACTTTGGCAATGTTTCAGCCATATCGTGACTAATTCAAGTTATTGATCAATACTAATTAAAGGTACATTATAAAACATGTCAACGAAGGACTGGTAATGCTGATAACTGTCAACCTATTTATCGTTAAACAGTGTCCTCATTATAAGCAATCAGTAGCTCACGAACAACATTAATACCATTTCCAATACTCCAGTATAAAGTATACAGTTAGGCATCACACAGATATATCATGTAACTGTCTCCAGTTCCAAGGCCACGCCAGTAGATGACAAGAGACTGTTCCTTTTTCCAATACATCGGTACAACAATGGAAGTGGGATGCAGCTTTACAATCCTGGGTGTGAATCTATACTACCATTGCCTGTCAGCTTCACCGACTTACTCTATGTCTACAGGGAACACCACGTGAGTACCTTATGCAATGAAGATCGCAATGAAGTACCAGCATGCACACCCCTTGTGTATATTTTATTACTCATTATTTGTGCAACTTAACAATGTTTTCTCCTGCTTATCATATCAGTATTTGATTATTTGTGTACAGTAACAACGTTTTTATCCGTATCTCAGTTCAGTTTTTGATCATGTGTCGTCTATTTATAAACTGTACACTGCTTTCAGTAAAGTGTTTGATTGTTTCCCAGCTCTTCGTAAACTGGACTGGCAGTGACTCTGAGAGTGGTATCTATGACTACGAGCTGGGGCTGATGTCAGATCCTTCTGGTGAAACAGCTCCAGATATCCTGCCCTACACATCCACTCATCATCATCCTCAGTATCAGGGCTACCATCCTCGTCTCAGTGAGGGGCAACAGTTCTACATCGCCATCAAGGCCATCAACAAAGCTGGCATCTCAACTGTCAGAGTAAGGGCACACAAGAGAATCATTTATGTTTCATGTTGTATGTTTATGAAGAATATATGCATTAATTTCTTTGGACTGGTGACTCTTTGCGTAAACACAAGTATTTGAACGAAATGACCAGATGTAACTGTTTTCATTAAAGGTTGTTGGACCTGTCACCGTGTATACACGATACCCTGCATTTACTGGATCAGTGACAGTGACGCTGAGACACAACTATTTGATTGCACGTTGGCCAGAGACAGCATTCACAGACACTGGGTATCTAAAATATGAAGCTGCAGTAGGTATGTGCAGTCGTTATCGCTCTAATATCCTTCATCTTATTTCAAATGCCTATGAAACTGCCATTGCCCTTACATTATGTTCGTCAGGAACTAAGGACGGCAAGTCGACAATAATCCCCTTCACGACGCTGCAGTCAGGAGGTGGTTGTACACTGACGTCGCCACCCACGTGTACAGCTGTCGCCCTCACAGACCTCCACTGGGACCTCCATCACAGCCACACCTACTTTGTGTCAGTCAGAGTCACCAACATAGTAGGACTGTCTACACTAGCAGTGTCTGAACCCTACGTCCATGACGTCATGCCGCCGTTACGTGGTGTAGTAGAAGACGTTATTCCAGCTGGAGAAGAATCCTTGTTCACAATACCGGTATGTGTATCTTTAATGTTATTAATCACGTATTCGGCAAACGAACGCGAATGTGTGTTTGAATATCATATCACGAAACAAACAGGTTCACACAGTTTTATGCCAGTGATTTATATAATCTGTAATTTACATGATATGCATGAGTCGATCACGTTAATAATATTTCAAACACAATTCAGCTTTCTTTTTATCGATAGTGGATATTTCTGTCATCACGTATTAAGTCAGTAACTATAGTCTTCGAGACGTATTGTCATAAATGTCGTGATTAGTAGGACACTTCATTGCTTATACAACCTGTTATTGTTTCGTGAGTTTCTGGTAATAAAGATAGTGTTATGCTGACGTGTAAAGAAAGGGATATAGACTTTGAATATTTTGAGATCATTATTTTAGTTCTTGTATCCCATAAGTACAACCCTTGTCATGTTCAACTGGATACATTTTGCTTTTGAATCTTCTGCTATTTATAAAACAAATGTTTTCTTTCCATTATTTTCTGTTTGCATTATTTATATCTACATGTTTGTAGATCATTCATTACCTCATGAACTCGTGTACTACAATATACCCCTATGACTCCTATTAATGTTTGTTTTATATACTCGATAAAAACACTGTCCCTGTAGTATGTGTGATGACCATGGAAGACATAAATATGTCTGTATACTTTCAGCGTACTGATGACACAGACTACCAAATATCAACACGGACATTAACAGCGAGATGGTATGGATTTGATAATGGAATAACTGCCATTACGTACAGGGTTGGAATTGGGTCTCAGCCATTTACAACAGATATCCAGGCGCATGTCTATGTTGGAAGTGCAACCTTACATTCTTTCACTGGTTTGAGCCTGCATTGGAAAACGGTTGGTAAACAGATGTTGATTGAAACACTTGCAAACTATGAATTTGTTCTCTTGTTTACAGGATTGTATATGCACAATGAAGTGGCGCCTCTGCCTAATTTCAGAAGTATTTTGTGACTGTCGTTGCTGCTACCGATGGCGGCGGAGATGTGATGGTGTCCTCTGACGGTGTGACGATCATCAGGCCCAATGTTGACATCACAGATGCCATTGTCAGAGATGGCCTAGGGATGCAGTGATTCTGGTATTTGTTGTAGTTGTCATGGATGACGAAAATTGCATTAAAATGCTGCATATACTTTATGATTATAATGATTCGGAAATATATGATTTCAGATTTTGCAACTCAAATGTTTTAACCTTAACCGTATGATAAGGACTAGTTTCAAATTGTCCGACATGATAAAAAATTAACAAGTAATTATATAATTCTGCAAGTCTTACAGTTTCTATGGGAAATGATAAAAGAAATGGCTTTTCAGCAAAAAACACTATTGAACGAAAAAATATCTTATAATTAGAAATATTAGTTTCAGAAGTTCTATTGTTTATTTTGATACACTTTAAAAAGTATAAACCCGGAGGATTCTTATTAGGCTAACTGAACTAATGTGAACTAAAATCCACTAGAAAGTCAATTTATGCTCTTAGTTTTCAGTTAATTGAGGTTTCGACGAAATTTGATTTTAGTGAATGGTGCTCTCGAAGTGCAGTAAACCAGACGGTGAGTGAGATATTACGTAACTGGAATTATTAGGTTGTTGTGCATGTGATCAAGGTATAGCCTTGCACATATAAGCCGTTTACCTGGATATTTTTGCATACGGTTCGCAACATGCACGTCACAACGCCGTCACAGTCTATGTCGCCGCGTTAGCTAATCAACAAGGCATTCAGTATGGAAGTCGACACATCTCGACAGTAAACAAAATAAGAAAATCCTTTACATATTCATAAGAAAACTCTACAATTCCTACTCCGTCAGAATGTGTTTATCAAACATTGTTTGCGAAGCGCACCGACGAACAGTGTCTCTCATGAAGATTTTATAACGTTTATCCTCACGATTTTACGATACTTGAGTCAGTGTTTGTATATATTCCTCGATCGCTTTGAAAATACAATTGTGTGCCCCTCACGCTCATGAAATAATATCCTCAGCCATATAAGTAACATATTGCTTGTGTGATGCAAAGTCGCTACACTTGTGGTCTTCTATGTGAGAGGTTAAATGTATTGATGAATGTCTTAACAGAGATGTTCACGAGATAACACATACCAAGTATCTACTTCATCATATGCGGCCCGCTGGGATACAAGCAACTGGCTGCTCAGTTATCCTGATGTACAATGGAGTTTGCAAAAAGAAAGTTCCTAGAACTGGTATGTGAAGATCGCTCGATGACCAAAAGATTAGCATAGTCACGATTGTCCTCAGGCCGAGTGGTTTATTAAATCAATTTAACTTCTTAACGGACCTGCTGGAAATGTATCATAATTAGGAAAAATATATCCAGTAAAGTACTGGTCATGTTTAATCCATGATGTGCTTCCTTCTACATTGGTGTGATATTATTTCACCATTGTATATGACAGAAGAGATGTATAGTAAGATAAACGCCACAAAACGTTTACTGTAAACTGTCTCATATCTCATATACAACAGTGCACTAGGGTTGTCGTCGTTTCTATAAATGCTGAAAAAAGTTGCAATTTGGCCATTCAGCTTTTATTCTCATAGTTGACCTATGGGACATTGAACGAGTTTGAGCCCCTTAGAACATCGGATATGGTCGTGGCTAGCGGTCTGCATCTTCAACCAGGAACAACCTACAGAGCTGCTGTCAAGTTCTGTGTAGTGAATGTATGTTCTAAACCCATATACAGTGACGGTGTGACTGTCATAGCACATCCTCCAACACCAGACAATATATCGCTGACGTATCGGGAATCTAACAGTGGACAAGCACAGGCAAGTTACATATTTCTTTCCAAGCGTTCCGTTTCTTTTCATTCGTATGTATTATGTTATTATGGTATTTTTTGGTATGGTGTTTTAGATCCAGGTGAAGATGGCTCGGTTCCGTGATCCTGATATAAAGGTACTACAAGAAGCTTATGACGTCATGGATAGATACGAGTGGGGTCTGACAGATGACAGTCACAAAGACAAAATGTTGATAGACTGGCAGACGGTGGATGCTGATGCTATTGAAAGTGTGGCTGATGACAAGGTAAAATTGTTCATAGAATATTTATCTATTCTTTATACCTTTGATGCCTTTCCGATATCAGTGAACAAAATGGTATATGGGTTGGCTACCACTTTCTTCTGTCTTCAGATAAGTTTCACTCTAAACCTGCCAAAACTGATTCGCTTTACCAAGTGCAGAAGAGAATCAGTCAGGGGCTACAACCACGTAGGTTTACATACAACGGTGTCAGCAGATGTCAAAGAATGTGCAGCATATAATCCTCCAAATATCGTGCCTGCAGTTGTTCTAGATGTTATCGGTAAGTGCGTGGTTACAATAAGTTTCAGGAAAATGTGTAGTCCCTCGTTAAATGTACGTTTTAAGGCTAGTGAACTGAATGTTCTGTTGATGAAACATCCCAGGGGTACATTTATGATTGATTACAGGAGCAAACAACGAAAATGTTGGTCAAGGAATAACCTTAGATCAGAATAGTCACTGGAATGATGCTGACTACACTCCCTACAAGAACATCCTGTCTGCTGTGTGGCCGACGCTACGTCACAGGAACTACACGTGGGCAGTGGTTTCAGGTGACCAGTTGGACCCCTCATCTCACTACAAGAGAGAGACTCTGATGATCGTCACTGACCCCTGTAGCATGCCGGGTGTCATCAAGTGTGGACACACAGGTGAGTGTGTGTTTTAACAATATTTTGTAAAAACGTACGGTGTTTATAAAAGATGTGGCATTCATCCATGCCTTCATCTTTTCCTTTTTTCAAGTGAACGAGTTCATCAACGTGGAGTTTGCAGAGCTGTCCTACTTACAACACGGCAGGAGATTTTATGTGTGCATCCATGCTGATGACAAAAACACTCGTTTTGAGAAGTGGACATCACCTCTGACTGAAGTGAACGCCTGCAGTGACGGCATCACTGTTGATCTGACTCCACCTACACCGGGGACAGTGAACATCGACAACCTCATAGACGGGACATTTCAGGTTAACTGAACCCTTTTAAATAATGTTCCCTTGGTTTCGACAGCATATAAAGTAACTTGGTTGTTAGTGTGAAGTCAATGCTGAAACTACAGTAGAGCCATCGATTTGGGCAAGTACACAGATATTGATATATTTCTCATGTACAGGTTAGCAAAACAGAAGTTGCAATTAGCTGGACAACTTTTGTTGATGTGGAAGAGGAAGGATTCTCTGCTCATGCTGCTGGGATTGCCTTTTATGAAGTTGCAGTGGGTAATGAACTGAACAATTTGTTCATGATCTACCATATAACATATTCAATTTCTAATTCCTTGACAATTATCACTGTCTCAGGTAAATTTATGTCATTCCTGATAGATAAATGTTTTCTACCTTCAGGTACGTTCCCTGGTGGACAAGATGTCGTCATTTACACCCGTGTTGGATATGTAAACAAGTACATTCTACACAGGCTCAACCTGCAGACTGGAAGTACATACTATGTTTCAGTGAGAGGTAAGCTGAAGGTCGATAGAGTTCAGCTTTGTTCATTTAAACTCCATGTTTTGGAAAACAGGCCCAGGTATTCGTGGCAGACTTAAATATGTGTTTATTGTGACAGTTTTGAAACTTTCATTCAAATCTAAGAAAGGTGACATCAATGCATTTTCAATGTCTTGGACCCATGATGAATACATCATGGGTATACATTCAACTTATGCTATGCATTACAAATAATGCTTCAGTTCTTAAGAAATGTCTTATCTCTTAACACTATTTCTTTCAGCCACAGATTTTGTGAAGAAGACAACAGTTGCTGTATCAGGGGGTTTCCTTGTCGACGCCACACCTTCAGTACTAACAGGGCAACACATTGACGTGGAGGGACGATACATTACATCACGTCTTATACATGTCTGGTAACGTTGAGAAAGTGGCATATGAGCTCGTACAAATGTTTTCAAAGAAACCTTTGAAGGAAAAAGGACAGGCTGATGCTAATATGTTGGGTTCACGAACAAAATTAGCATTCTATACGAAAATATATTCCATGATATTTTCCCGACCTTGTTGAGTCAATAAATACATAGGCTGCATTTGTTCTTCATTCTGCATTCTAAACACAAACTCTGTCAAGAACTAGAGATTACTGTACAACGGCAGCAATTTTCAACAACTCTGCATTTGTAGATAACATACTGACTTTCTTATTGAAGCTGACATGTCCAGTTCTGGTCGGATTAACGTTAAATATTCATATATAGCTGCCACACTTGCTCGACCTATTAACACTGATTTCTTTTTCAGTTGATTGTATTATCATTCTTATGTGTTGAATTCTTTAACTAATTGTTTTATATGGGTAACATTCACAAATGTACAATATACAGAATAATAAACTTTGTGTGCTAGGTATACTTGTAATGTATCCTCACATTAATTATCAAAATATTTAGGTTTCAATATTTACTTTAGTGGTGGACAAAACATACACTGAAGAAGTCACACGACGTTTCTGATTTCATGTCCTGTTCAAGGCAAATGTTGATGGAGTAATATTCTACACTGGAAAATAAACGGCGTTGATATATTCCACAGCTGGAGGAACGTTTTCTTTAGACGAGGAAAGTGGAATAAAGTCATACAGCGTTGCTATGGGCACCAGACTTGCGTATGCTGATGTGTCAGAGTACAAGATGACCGTTGAGGACTGTTTGGACATTGACACACTTAATAAAACAGAGGATGGTCACTCGTATTATATAACTGTGAAGGTAGCTTTGGACGTTTCTATCTTCTTTTCTTTCATGTGTTCAAATTATCATGACACAAAATGATCCCCGAGTGTTCGTTCATCCGTAGATCTCGATCGTTGAGGTAGCTGGGTTGTAGGAGTCTAGTCTGTCTCACTTAAACAGACAATCGTCTTTGATTTAAAGATTCAAATAATAATATAAACTTGTTTGAAATAAATAGAGAACGGGCTGAAGTCCTAACTTATGGCGGGCAATCTTATTGATGTCCTTCTTCCAGGCCATCAACGGTGCAGGTCTGTACACACTGTCCTCATCACGACCTCTGGTTGTGGACACCACGGCTCCATCTACTGGCCAACTTCTATGACGGAGTACAGTCAGCTGCCTCACATGATGACAAAGACAAGGACTATATCACCAGTAAGTCTCAGAGATGGCAGCCTACTGGGAAGGCTTCGACGATCCTCATTCAAGTGTCGCCATTTACAAGGTCAAGGTCGGAACCTGCGCAGGATGTGACGACAAAATGAAAGAAGCCAAGACAGGGCTACATCAGTGTGAGGATTGTTCATTGCTTTTCGACTGTGCTTTTTAAAATAATGTCAAGAAAAATATATCGATACAATTAAATTTCAGATATCAGCCTTCAGCACATCCTGCTCTCCCCCTGGAGTGAAGTACTTCACCACAGTGACAGCCTGTAACACAGCAGGCCTCTGCAGCAGCTCCTCAACCTCAGACGGTGTGATCCTGGACAGCTCCCCACCAGTTCCTGGAACAGTGCAGGATGGTACAGGCGACGCTGACATACAGTTCCAGGCGACGAGGTGATAAGGAGCATTTGGTATTACAATAGAGTATCTAGTAGAAATGATTAAGTAGAACCAGTTCTATCTTGACGGAAATATTTTTAAATTACTTTGGAACTATGCAGTGTTTACAGAGAGTTGGTATGCTTTGCAGGACATTCATTGGTTGCAAGTGGCGAGGCTTTAGCGACCCTGAATCCGGATTAGATTACTATGAATGGCGTGTCGGAACAAAACCAGGAGCTGACGACATTCTCTCAGCCCGCACTGCAGCCTTGGGTGAGGTCATCTTCCACACCCTGCCACATGACCAACAGTTGCCCGTAGGACGGACATTGTACAACACTATCCGGGCATTCAACAAAGCAGGTATGTTGCAGACGGTTGACGACAACAGTCGAATTGTAGGTGTAGCAGGTAGACAGAATCGTGACAAACACTGCATCATGTTTCAGGGCTTTATTCAAAGGCTATGTCTAATGGGGTACTGGTGGATGACAGCGTTCCCATTGTGGTTACACCTCCGACAGTGAGAAGTTTAATGTCCCTTTGTTCCTAACACTACAGTCAGTCGGACAGCTCTGAGTCTACACTGGGAGTTCCAAGACGTTGAATCCGCCATAGAACGCCAGTACCTCTCCTTATCATCTCACCAGCTTGGAGAGATAGATAGTTCTAATCTTGAGGTAAAGGTTTGTCTTATATAGATATAACACAGTATAATTGACATTCAGTTAGAATTGGTCTCCAGCAACCCATATTTATTGCGGCGGTACTAATCGTATGCGACTAACGGGATCGGGTGGTCTCGCTGACTTGGTTGGCACATGTCATCGTTTCCCAATTCCGTAGATCGATGCTCATGCTGTTGATCACCGGATTGTCTGGTCGGGACTCGATTATTTACAGACCGCCGCCATATAGCTGGAATATTGCAGAGTGCGGCGTAAAACAAAACTCACTCACTCAAGCTGAAGTGTGACCACGAAATAGTGTCAGTACACAGAAATACTGAACGTTCATCTATTCATCCATGTATGTTGTATTCCAGGTTCCTGGTTTACTTCGAGAATACACTTTTGTGAACCTTGACTTGCATGATGGAAGTAAATACAAGGTGAAGGTTACCGCGTGCAATATGGCGGGTGTCTGTGTATCGGCACATACAAACAACATTTTGGTTGACAGCTCTAAACCAAATACAGGTATGATTTTGTTGTGCTCCAACGGAACAGATTGCGGAACGGTTATTTTACTCTTATTACAAATCCGATGACAATGATGATGATGAAATACTATTTAATTTGCAGGGTACGTTCGCCATAGAAACCGACCACGCAGTGAAGCTCGCACGACATCAGACTGGCTGGATGACTTGGAACAGGACCAGTCTGAACCTGGCGTGGCTTGGCTTCTCCGACCTACATTCAGGGGTGGACCATTACCTTGTAACAATAGGATCTCGTGAATTCGGAACAGATTACAATACGGTGAGATGTTTCTAGGAGACCAAAAAGATTCCATAACTCATATACAGAAATAAGAGTTGTTTTATACGTGACCGCCATATAGCTTAAGCATTGCGGGAGTGCAGCGTTAAACTAAACTCGCTCATTCTACGTGCAATTTTACACTATGTAAATGTGCAAGGAGGAAACACTGATCCAACTTGAACATACACAAACATTTATTTATTGCAGGGTACACTACCGGAGAAGGTATTCCATAGTGACTCGGGTGTGAACAAGGGTGATGAAGGAGTCCTGCAACGTTTCACAGTACACACTCGTACCCTGCCGTCATCAGGATCTGTGTTTGTAGCTATCTGGGGTGTGAATGGGGTAGGTTCTCTTGACACTGTCCTTAAACTTGTTTAACTGAAGATATCCTATACTCAAAGCATGATTGTATCCAATGCTACTTCTAGGTAGGCCTACAGGTGATGCCTACCACGCTGAACTGGTCCTGAAGGCAGACTCTACTCTGTGGCTGGTGAGGAGGTGCCAGGCCTACAACTGTGAGGGACACTGTGTCTGTGCTGTACAGGGCGGTACCTGTTCTGCCAGTAAAGCATGTGCACAGGACAAAACAGGTTTGTGCAGTAACGGGAAACTAAACAGAACAAAGATTAGGACCTAATATCACATTTCAGTCATTTTCGTAGCTATAGATCTCTTACGTGTCTTGCATTTATGGCTATACGTCCAGTACATAAACTCACAACAGGTTAACAGAGCAGGAAGGGTTTAGCTGCTAGAAACCCTCATTTCCGTTTTCTAACGAAAACTTCAAACCCTTTCACATCTAGGTAGAGTAGATAGAAACATCACAATCAAAGACGTGGTGGACCTCATGTCTCCGGATGGTTCTAATGACGTCGACGTCAGTCTGTTCAACACCGTCATGGCTGCCACTTGGACTGACTCGTCAGGGGATCACCTGTTTCACGGTGAGCAGTCTTTTCTATACACACTATACATACTTTGTAACATTTACATTAGTTCACAGATGCATCCTGGCACGTGCGTTATTTGTTATTTGTTGTCTGATACATTTGCCCTTTGGAAGATTGATATGAATACAGTATAAGTGGAGAAGAGAGTGATGAGCCAACGGGGTGTTTGACGCCATAGTCGACATAGGTTTTGGTTTGATGCAGGTCTACAAAGCATCTGCTGTTGTCTCATTACCTGCAGGTGTGAGAATGAATCATACTTCAGGTACAACTTCACACGACACAAACATGCTCATACTGAAGCTTTAATCAGTTGGTATCAATTCAATCGCTAATCGACATAGCACTTCAACAATCTCAATATAATGTAAACAGCTGATATACGTGTCATGATGATTTGCAGGCAAGTCTCTGACATCTGGATTGAACTATTACTTCTTTGTGAGAGCATGGTATAACAAAATCAACAGCATCTTCAAATCGGATGGCGTCCTTATCCAAACAGCACCACCCACAGTAACAGGTAGCCAAGAAGGGCCAAAAATGGGTGTATCTGCTATTATATTGTTCACATGTCTCTTTACAGAGCTGCCGTTGGTTTCCCAGTGTTGTAGAAGGTGAATATGTTTAGATGGAGTGACTTAGCGCTGCTGTATTACCACAGGTGAAAGAGCTTTTGCACACACTCCAACTGACACCAAAGATACAGACTTTCAGACACAGAACGAAACTCTGTTTGTCCAGTGGAGTGGAAAGTTCCTTCAGGGTCAGAGCGGCATCCTCAGATACAGGGTCTTTATCAGCACTGTGCAAGGAGGTATTTTGAATATTGAATTTGACGAATTCCGTCTAATTGCAATTCACTAATTCAACAGACAATTGTATAACTGTCGAATTTGGAGGACTAGTCCTAGTTTTATATAACTATATGATGCATGGTCACAGTATCCATGAATCAGGGGACCTGACCTTCACCAGCTATACTGCGACAGATCTGAGCGCTTTACGTCCAAACACCGTCTACTACTGCAGTGTCCTGGCTTACAACAAGGCTGGTCTGGTCATTGGGCCTATTCTGATGGAGTACAGGTGGACGTCATGCCTCCAGTGGCAGGCAGAATAATGGACGGACTTGGTTGGTAATATTGTAAATCTTTTCTCGTAATATGGTATTAACATAGGTATGATATATACAGTATACTAAACTTTTATGCATGTTTTCATAATGTTGAATATTGATGCAGGCATCCATGACTTGACTACCAGAGTTCAACATCCGAAGCATCCGCCTCCTGGTACGGCTTCGGACACAGACTCCACAATCATCAAGTATTTTGGTGTGTGGGGACAAGCAGCGACACATCAGATTGCAGTGTGTTGGACTGGTTGGATATAGGACTACACACATCTTCTAGGAGGTCGCTGTTGTCTCCAATCGTAAATGGTCAGTGAATATAGAACGCTACATTATGTTAGTGCCACTTTTATGTTAGATATAGGATAATACGTATATACCTATCACATGATCACATTATCTTGTGTTCAGGTACAAGAATATGGAGCAAGGTGTATGCTGTGGATGCTGTTGGTTACACCTCAGATGTTGTTGTTTCTGATGGAGTCGTTGTTGATGCATCTCCACCTGAACGTCAGGATGTAGCATATCTTGAGACAATCTGGTTAAGAACCCATCTTCGAGGTAGACGACATAATTGGTACTACCACGAAATGCAACCTCGTCATACCAACATCATGGGAAACTGACACAGCGTCCTGTATCAAGGTTCAGGCGCCGGATTCACCTTTAGCTAAAGATGGACATAAAGTTTGTGTCCGTAATTGGGAAGCATCCAACAAATGATCTCAGGTCTTGAGGTTGGGAGGCGAGTACAAGCTGACTCTGTATGCTGGATACCCAGAGACTGTTTCCAACACCCACAGACCAGTTGATGCAATAGTTACAATGGGAAGTGAAGTCTTCAGCTTTACCCCTGGACCCTACCCTCTGTAGAGGCACCTGCAGTGTCGGAGATCACTCAGTCGTCCTCTGGAACAAACACACATACAGGTTCACAGCTGTAGATACAAGTGTAGTGCTGGAAGATAACGTCATCGTCATTGATGATGGGTTTGTACTGGACTGATGTAAGTGTCCACACTTGTGGACTATGTTGTTGGTCCAGACAATGAGGACACTGAGGGCGCACCTGGTGGTCCACTCTGTGTTCCTGTCTCACTGGTCATCTCTACATGCTTCCTGGCACTTCGAGGACCTACAATCCCCTATTACACAGTACAAGTGGGCGATTGGTAACTAGATTTATTGTCATTACGTCAACTGACTTTGCTGAATTAGTAAATGCAACACTGTGTAGTATAGTGAGATGTCAAATGTTCGATATTATAGATCCAAGAATAATATGTTGAATATTGCGTATTTGTTTCAACGACAATCACTGGGGATGGGAGGAAAGCATAATCTCTGACATAGGACCAGATCTGAAATTGTGACAAAATAGATTCCCGGCTTTGGTTCACGTCGTGGGTATAATGTGTAAAATACATTTCCAGTGTCCTCCGCCGTGATATTGCTAGAATGTTGCTAAAATCAGCGTACCTCCACACACTCACTACCTCACACACTAATGTACACAGTTCTTTCCTAATCTTTCAGGAGCTCGTCAACACATCATTGTTTCCAGTGTACCGTTATCGCAATGATGATATATATACTCATTGAGAACGAATAAGGGAACATTACATGAGTATTGAAGTGTTACTTTATTCTTTTCCAGAATTTCACCCACAGCAACAACACAAACCATGTGAAGAAACCTGAAAAGAATAAAGGAACACTTGTACCTTCAGGTGGTCCCTATTCGTTTTCCTGAGTATATTAGTCCGATGTATAAGTTACTTTATCATATCATACTCTGTGCGTTCGTGTAATCAAAAGGTCCTTGTGTTTCAGGCACAACTCCAGGTGGTACACATGTCCAGGGCTACACGGACCTAGGTCGAGCTTTGCCACAGGAACACTGTCTAATGTGCAACTGCTCCATGGCGCCACTGTTTACATTACTGTCATAGCGACGAATGCTGCTGGGCTCTCTACTGTTACATACTCTAACGCCATCACAGTAGACATGACTGCACCACAGTTCGACCTCATCAGTGATGGTCTGGATGGTAAACTTGAAATTTATATATATATATGTCAGATGAATAAAAAACAACGTGCAGGTCTACAACTCTTTGATGGATTAATATAACATCAAATGCAATAATTGAAAGAGTTCTTCGTAACGTGGTAATTTAGCTGCTTCATTGATACAGATTGAGTGTTTACGTATGTTCCAGGACGAGATGAAGACTATCAGACATCAGGCGTGGTGAGTGTCTACTGGCAAGTCAGAGATGAAGAATCAGGTGTAGAACACTGCGACTGGGCTATTGGTACGTGGAATACTTCATTGCCAACAATATTAAACGCTAGCATTTTCTGTGTTGTTTAACATAAAGTCGCTGGAATGAAAGACCCATGGCAACAAGACGTGCACTTCGTGGTTACTTTCAAAGAGTAAACATCTTATGTCAGACACAAATTCAGGCAATCCTAAAATTAATCAATACAATATGAATGTTCAATATGAAATATATTTCAGGGAATTCCTGACATCTTGCAAGCCACAAATGATAAAATATGTGGTTGACATGTGTAATGAACCTATCAGGAATCCAAACTTAACCATACGGTATAATTAAATTTTTATGGATGAAGCGTGTCTTCACTACTATAGTAAATGGACATAAACTGTTTGAGATTTATATGAAATGTAGATGGAAACAGTTCCACGTGTAGCGTTTGGCGTCACAGCATTTAAAACATAGTCCTAATGTATTCATATATATACAAACATCTTAACCATTTCTTGTACGTAATACGCCATGTACTCAGTATCTTGTTCAATGACAAGGGAGGACACGAGGGAGCAGTGACATGAAACAGTTTGAGAGGGTCCCCCAGGTCAGTCCATTGTTCCAACATGACATCGCCTCTAAGATCCACTCTCGTCATCTGTGACAGTCTACACCACATACAGTCCGGTGCTTCAACAAGGCGGGGCTGGCGTCGGACATAACGTCGGATGGAGTTGAAGTGGTCCAGACAAGCGAACCAGACATCAGTTCCTGGCTTCACTGTCCTGAGAGAAAAGTCAGTCGGTGTACAGTGAGAGGGATATGTGTCACCAGAGTCACGAGAAAGTCCGACTCTGATGGACAAACCAACCGACATTTCAAAACAGTGGTAAACTGAATATCTTCAGAAAATCAGGAAAACACGGAACGTAAACCATCAATCATTGCATATGTATACGTTTGTAGTTGATAAATATCATAATTTTGAGGTAGTTGCTATGTAAACCAGTACTTCGAGTAGTTGCTATAGTAAACAGTACTGGAGTAGTTGCTATAGTAAACCAGTACTTGGAGCAGTTGCTATATGAAATAAACAGTACTTGGAGAAGTTGTTATAGTAAACCAGTACTACTTGAAGCACTCAGCTATAGTGTAAACCAGTACTTGGAGTAGTTGCTATAGTAAACCAGTGCACTTGGAGGAAGTTGCTATAGTAAAACAGTACTTGGAGTAGTTGTTATAGTAAACCAGTACTTGGAGTAGTTGTTATAGTAAACCAGTACTTGGAGAAGTTGCTATAGTAAACCAGTACTTGGAGTAGTTGTTATAGGCAAACCAGTACTTGAGTAGTTGCTATAGTAAACCAGTACTTGGAGTAATTGTGCTATAGTAAATCAGTAACTTGGAGTAGCTGCTATAGTAAAACCAGCACTTCCATCGGGAACACTAGCCATAGTAAAACAGTACTTGGAGTACTTTGCTATAGTAAAACAGTACTTGGAATAGTTGCTATAGTAAAACAGCGTACTTGGAGTAGTTGCTATAGTAAACCAGTACTTGGAGCACTAGCTATAGTAAACCAGTACTTGGAGTAGCTGCTATGAAGTAAAACAGTACTTGGAGTAGTTGTTATAGTAAAAACAGTACTTTGGAGTAGCCATGCTATAGTAAAACAGTACTTGTGCGTAGTTATTATAGTAAACCAGTACTTGGAGTAGTTGCTGCCGTAAAACCAGTAGCTTGGAGCCTGGCTATAGCAAACCAGTACTTGAAGTACTGAAGTATAGTAAACCAGTACTTGGAGTAGTTGCTTATAGTAAAACCAGTACTTTGAGCACTAGGCTATAGTAAACCAGTACTTGGAGTAGTTAGTTATAGTAAACCAGTACTTGGAGTAGTTGCTATCGTAAAACAGTACTTGGAGAAGATTTGTTATAGTAAACCAGTACTTGGAGAAGCTGCTATCGTAAACCAGTACTTGAGTTAGTTGCTATAGTAAACCAGTACTTTGGAGAACTAGCTATAGTAAACCAGTACTTGGAGTAGCTGCTATAGTAAAACAGCAATTTCTGAGTAGTTGTTATAGTAAAACAGTACTTGGAGTAGTTGCTATAGTAAAACAGCGGCTTCATGGTAGTTGTTATAGTAAACCAGTACTTGAAGTAGTTGCTATAGTAAACCAGTACTTGGAGCACTAGCTATAGTAAACCAGCGTACTTGGAAGCACTAGCCATAGTAAACCAGGTACTTGGAGTAGTTGTTATAGTAAACCAGTACTTGGAGCACTAGGGGCCATAGTAAACCAGTACTTCTGAGAAGTTAAGCTATATAGTAAACCAGCTACTTGGAGTAGTCTGCTATAGTAAAACCAGTACTTGGAGAACTAGCTATGTAGTAAACTTCAGCACTTGAGTAATTTGCTATTAATAGTAAAACAGTACTTGGAGTAGTTGCTATAGTAAAACAGTACTTGGAGAGAAGTTGCTATAGTAAACCAGTTACTTGGAGTAGTTGCTATAGTAAAAACAGTACTTTGAGTAGTTGCTATAGTAAAACCAGTACTTTGAGTAGCGTTGTTATAGTAAACCAGTAATTTGGAGAATTGAGGGCTATAGTAAACCAGCGTACTCTGGAGACTAGCTATAGTAAACCAGTACTTCTGAGAACTAGCTATAGTAAAACCAGTACTTGGAGTACTTCGCTATAGTAAAACAGCATTGGATAATCTAGCTATAGTAAAACCAGTACTGGAGAAGGCGCTATATAGCGTTAATTTCTGGAGTAGCTGGTGCTATAGTAAAACAGAAGCAGCTGGAGCACTAGCCATAGTAAACCAATTATTTGGAGTAGTTGCTGGTGTTTTCAGATCGGTATTGAGGGAGATACGCTGACACAGCAGAATGTCGTCCCTGTCCATCTGAAGTACACCTTGGCCCACATTAGTGGGTGTTACACTGAAGGATGGATCGACATATCATGCCCTCACTTATCCTATTGACGGGATGGGAACACACGGAGAGACAACTATGTTGTTGAACTTCACGGTGCATGGGCCTTCCTCCAGCGATAACAGGTGTGTGGTTTATGTGCTGTAAAACAGCTTAGTCGTGCCAAACAATGCCTGTCCATACTAGATATCTTACATTATATTGCTCAAAACCGTGATAAAATAAGTCACACTATCTAAAATTATGGATTATCACATTCCGTCCGTTTTCATAAACTATTCACAATTTTCACGTGTTTAACATCTTCCCCACAGCTTCTGGCCGTTTGTCTGTGGTCAAAACTGGCGGCGACTGACCGTCACCTGGCGGGATATGTTTGCTTCTCCCTGGGACGACCTGAAGTATGAAGTTCACGTTGGAACAGTTCTCGGGAGGCGCCGATATTGTAGACAAGCTGTTAACAGAGAACGATGAAATCACTCTGACTTTAAATTCGCAATATCGGGATTTGATGAGATTTATGTTACTCTAAACGCTATTGACACGTGTGGTCTGTCGTCCTGGTCCACACAAACAGTAAGCTTGAACTAAGTGCACTTCATTCGTGTTTCCTATATTATGGTAAAATTTAAAACCAGCATGGTGCACCGATTTTCATTCTCTTCAATTATGATATATTATACAATTATTCAATTTGAATAGTAATTCATAGAATAATACAAACTATACTTTTACGAACACCTTACTCATTTTTGTTGCAATGCAAATGCACACGCAACATGTCTCTCATGAGAAAGGTATTCGCCTTTTATGGATGCAGACCGAGGCAGGCATACTGACATGCAAACAGGGGACATGAAGCGTGAATGTTATACATATTTTGTCTATACTTACATGGCGTGCTTTTGTATTCTCTTATAACCTTGGTATTTACATTTTTATCCATCCTATTCACATATACGTTCAATATAAGTAGCGACCATAACTGAACGTAACCTAGAAAACAAACACACACAAACATCCTTGTACTTGTGCATGTCAAGGAAAGAAATATGATTGTATCGATTAGTATACTAAATAACAGGATTGCAGGAGGGAATACCCGAAGTAACTCCATTCTCCTGAAGTGATTGAACCAAGGATCCTCCTGAATATGGAAAAGTTATTAGAATATTCTCCTTCTTGACAGAACCCTACTTTCACACTCTTTCATTTCTCACTTGTGGAAGCTATCTGAAAAATAAACGCGAACTTTGTGTAGCTTCAGCTTTTGTGTTTTGTGAATTTCTTTTGATGCACGTGGCATGCGTTCTTTGTAGTTTCAAGCATGAAAAGCTTCATCGCAAGCGGGTCCTTACACTGCATAGTGCACCGCTGGTTCATGGGGTCCTAATCGTAAATATTAAAAGTCGCCGTTTTATAGAAAGGGACCTTTGAGTGTATACTTGGGTTTAAGGCCACGTTCAACAGTATAAAACACGGATATACGGGAGGAAAATATCTCACATGCACACCTCAAACGTGAAACCTCTTGTAGGGGTGATGCACATCTCAAACGTGAAACTTCGTGTAGGGTGATGCCATCTCAAACGTGAAACCTCGTGTAGGGTGATGCACATCTGAAACGAAATCTCGTGTAGGGTGATGCACATCTCAAACGTGAAATCGCGTATAGGGGGTGAAGCACATCTCAAACGTGAAACCTCGTGTTTGGGTGATGCACATCTCAAACGTGAAACCTCGTGTATGGGTGATGCATCTCAAGAACGTGAAACCTCGTGTAGGGCGTGATGCACATCTCAAACGTGAAACCCTCATTGTGAGTGATGCATATCTCAAACGTGAAACCTCGTGTTTGGGTGATGCACATCTCAAACGTGATGAAACCTCGTGTATGGGTGATGCACATCTCAAACGTGTCGAAACCTCGTGTAGGGGAATTGATGCACATCTCAAACGTGAAACCTCGTGTACGAGTGATGCACATCTCAAACGTGAAACCTCGTGTATGGGTGATGCACATCTCAAACGTGAAACCTCGTGTATGGGTGATGCACATCTCAAACGTGAAACCTCGTGTACGAGTGATGCACATCTCAAACGTGAAATAACGTATAGGGGTGATGCACATCTCAAACGTGAAAACGCGTATAGGGGTATGATGCTGTCAAATCAAGAAACACAATCAGACGGCGGCGGGGTGGCAGGTGGTTCATGCGTTCGCTTCAACACGCAGAAGACCCCAGCATGGGTACAATGTGTGAAGCCATTTCTGGTGTCTCCCGCAGTGATATTGCTGGAATATTGCTAAAACGGCGTAAAAGAACACCTCCCTCACACAATCTGAGCGAACAGGGATTCGAACGAGCGATCAAAGGTGTATCGCGTATCGAAACGACGCACCTCTCAATAGGGACTTGCTGCGTCTGGAGGGATCCACCAGATGTACCCCTTTACCATACAGAACTCAGAACAAAACAGTATTTGCCAGATTTGTTCTAGTTTTTGTCGTTAAAGCTCTACAGGATGTAACACACAAATATGTGTTAGAATTCAAAGGAAATATACATTTTGAAAGACAAGTATATTTAATTTCATACCGTTATAACATTTAAACGTACTGGAACAAGAATCCCTCAACTCGCCATTGGGAGATACACATGCAGTA